CACACACACACACACACATGATGTGGTTCTGATGGTGTGTGTTGTTTGTGATGGTCTTTGCTGGTTTTCAGGGACGGAGCAGCTACAGTCAGACATTACCAGATTAAAGAAACAAACGGCTCACCAAAACAGTTTTACCTGGCAGAGAAATACATCTTCAACAGCATTCCTGAACTCATAGAGTACCACAAACACAACGCCGCAGGTACAACACACACACTGCCTACAGTTACAGCAAAGCAGACACGTTTTTGTGTAAATGTGTAATAGTGTGTGTGTGTGTGTGTGTGTGTGTGTGTGTGTGTGTGTAGGTCTTGTTTCCAGGCTCCGTCATCCTGTCGGCGATCAGACAAGAGAAGCTCCTAAAACAGCAGGATTCAGCTACGGTAACACAGTCACACACTACAGGCTGCAATACACATCATCAACATCAATCTTAAAACACACTCTTATGGACTTTGAACATGATTACAGAGAGAAACTGAACATCACAATATATGTCAGCTCAAAATATCAGACATGTTTGATCTGCTCTGACTGGATGGAATCTCAGTCTGAAGATAAAATAATCAGTCGCGTTCAGATCCGCCTCCATTTCTGAGTGCCACGCCCACATCTCAACATCCAATCAGCAACTGATGCACAGAATCGAGACCCGCCCTACATTTTTTCTTCTTTTTTTGATGATGCGTTTCACTCACATTTCACAATATAGACATCCGATCCGACAAACCTACTGTACACCAGGTCAAACGTCATGGTGTGTATTCCAGCTTTAACACACTGAACACACACTGACACTAATCATATTAAATCTTTTATTGCTCTTAAAGTCCATGTACAGCAATATTACATGTGTGTTCTGAGTTTGTCACACTCAGCCAAATTTGAGTGATACAAAACGCCAAATAAATCAAATAAGGTATCAAAATCCTGAAAAGGTAAGCAGTATTCTCTGCTCTCAAACGCTGGGGGCGTGTCCTCTGTCAGCGCTGAAACCACGCCCACTCGCGGGAAAGCTGCCGCCCCTCTCGACTGTCACATTTCAATAAGGAGACCGAGCTGTTTTGTAAGTTCTGTGTTTGCGTGACGAAGGCATAGCTAGCTAGCAAACTGTAGGCTGTAGTAAGTAACGGTAATGACAGTAACTGGCGATTGAGCGGGTGAAGCACTGATGCTTATGCGCTCCAGTTATTAGCATGTTAGGGGCCAAAAAATCCTATGGTGCTGCTCACATGGCAAAAAAAAAAGTAATTTCAATTAAATGAATGTGCTATATTTTAATTTGATAATGTTTTTTATTTATTATTCTCTATTTTTAGGCCATTTTATGATGTTAAATTATATTTATGGAATAGTTATGATCCAATTATTACCTTTTAAAAGTTTTTTCAAAACATGTTCTACTCTAAAATTGTCAGAAAATCAAAGCCATAAATCTGAACGAGTTGAATCCGTGTATCATTCGTTTTTTGATTTAATATTGAAAGTAGAAAAATTTGAAAACGGCTCCTTTTTCGTATTTGCGGTTTTTTCCAAAACACGAAAAACCAGAATTCAGCTTAAATTTTCGTTTTTCGTTCATGGGTGGAAAAATTAATAAACAGCTTGAATATTGGATTTCTACATGTGGGCGGGAATTAAACGCCCCTTTCTGCTGATTGGTCAGCCGAAGATCAAACCGTGCCGTCATCAGTTCTTCTGCAGTATCATGCAGCAGAATAATAGTCCTCCGCTGCTGCAGGTGTATGGATTCTTAACGCATTTATTCCAACTACATTTAGTCTTTTTTTCATCAAACAAACAGGCTAATGAATAGCTGGACACAACTCATACCAGGGCAGAGTCTAGACAGAGCTTTCTTCTGTGTAGATATAAATTCTATTCTTTGCATCAGCTGGGCATGGCAGGGGATGATGTGACAGCTGTCTTAGCCTGCCCTGCTCACCCAGTAAGTCTGTTTAAGTAATTAATTAATTCGTTTCAAAATAAATATTTTAAACACTAAGACAAAAAGGAAAGAATAATAAATTAGCTTGGGTATATATAGGCCTATGTTCACGCAAGAACTCTCATTCTGACTGACAACCGGAGAACAGCATATATTAAATAGCCTGCTGTTAGAGTTATATAATGTAGTCTTGTGTTTTATTAAAATTGATTATAATTGATATCTCAAAAGGATATGCACTTGTGCGTGGGCACGCACTGCAACGCAAGATTTTCATAAAATATAATAACTTGCCATTTCCTGTTAGAGTTATATAATGTAGTCTTGTGTTTTATTAAAATTGATTATTATTGATATCTCAAAAGGATATGCACTTGTGTGCGGCGTGAGCTACTGCGCACTCGCACTGCAACGCAAGATTTTCATAAAATATAATAACTTGCCATTTCACAGTCCTAATAAATTGCGATGGGTTAAATAAACTCAATAAACAGACAGACGCGACTACAGTCAAGCACAGACCAGTATTGAATTGCAGAGGAAATAAGCAGTTTAAGTCATATTTAAAGCAGTTTAAATTAATATTGAGTACTGATTGATGTTCACTTGGATTATTTTCCCCATCGAGGGGAAATAACTTAATACTCTGTCATTTATAGTCGTATGGTAAAATGTATATTTTTAATTGTGTAACGTTACGTTCAAAATAACTACAAAATGTCATGCCTTTGATAAACAAAGAGAACAACAGAATGCGCTGCTTTAGCGCGTCTCGGTCTCCTCGAGCATCTTTCCGGCGCACGCCACAAACATCAACCACAGCGAATACTCGTCTTTTAAAAGGCTTCATTTAGATTATTTGACGTTAAATGCATCATATAAGTCACTTTGGAATAAATCACAGTAGGCCTATGTATCATGATAAAATAAAGCGACTTTACAGTCTGGAAATACTTTAGGCTATAGCTAATTATTTCTCGGACCCCCTATCACTATAAGAACCGCTGGTCTACACAGAAGAAAGAACTGTCTAGAGCTATTCATTAGTCTGTTTGATGAGAAAAATATGAAATTGATAAAATGGGTTATTAATCCGTACAACTGCAGCAGCGGAGGTCTATTATTCTGCTGCATGACACTGCGGAAGAACTGATGACGGCACGGTTTGATCTTCGGCTGACCAATCAGCAGAAAGGGGCGTTTAATTCCCGCCCATGTGTAGAAATCCAATATTCAAGCTGTTTATTAATTTTTCCACCCATGAACGAAAAACTTAAATTTAAGCTGAATTCTCGTTTTTCGTTTTTTGGGACAAAAAAGGAGCCGTTTTCTCATTTTTCTACTTTCAATATTAAATAAAAAAACGAATGATCGAATGATACACAGATTGAGTTGTGTTCCAAATTTGAAGTTGATTTCGCAAAAAAATGAGCTTTCAGTCAGACTTTGTTTGGCTGCCGTACCAAACGTTTCCACCAGGTGAAATCTGTTTCCATTCGTTTCTATTCGGTCATTTTTCCCCATGAACAGTACAAGTGTGACTATATATTTCAGGACCTAAAATAATATTTATGATCATTAACTGACATCAGAGAACCGTAAACATGTCAGTGTGTTGATAAATTATTGAAGCTTGACGTTTCAGGTAAAGGGGTTTGGCTGTCAAAGCCGTTTGGGAGCATGATGATGATGATGGTGTGACGAGTGAAGAAACCGTGTGTGTGTGTGTGTGTGTGTGTGTGTGTGTTTGTGTGTGTGCAGATAAATGGGAGATCAACCCGCACATCTACAGCGTCATGAAGACGTGCTGGATGGAGGTAACGGCTGAGTCCTTCACAGCCTCACTCACATTAGGCACGCTCTCCTGATGATCCGTATAATTACAAATTACAAATTCAGGCAAATTAAAAAAAATGCACAACTGTACAGCAAAAACATCAATAAAGTGAGTGTTACGTTTGTTTTAAAAAATTACATTGTTACAAAATCACATGTTTCTGTCTGGTTATGTAAGCTAGTTCTTCAGACAAAGGAATGCTGTTGCCCGATGTGTAATTGCATAGCATAAGTGATATATTAGCGAGATGAGTTTAGATACTGTTTATCTTTGCACATTCCCCTCTTCTTTTTTCCTAATTTGGACTCCTGATGGATTACCCTCCCTCTGTCCCTAATTAAGTAATTTTAGTGAAACTGACTTAAGTGAAAATGAAATGAAAAGTGTCACTGCGGCGTTACATTTAGATCATGCTGCATATTTCTTTTTACGCATTTTTTAAACAGCGCCGCATATTATAACCAATGGGGCCCTATACATTTGCACACATTTACCTGACTCAAGCTTGATTTCTTTTTCTGTCAGGCAAATTTAAAAAAATGCACAACTGTACAGCAAAAACATCAATAAAGTGAGTGTTATGTTTGTTTTAAAAAATTACATTGTTACAAAATCACATTTTTCTGTCTGGTTATGTAAGCTAGTTCTTCAGACAAAGGAATGCTGTTGCCCGATGTGTAATTGCATAGCATAAGTGATATATTAGCGAGATGAGTTTAGATACTGTTTATCTTTGCACATTCCCCTCTTCTTTTTTCCTAATTTGGACTCCTGATGGATTACCCTCCCTCTCTCCCTAATTAAGTAATTTTAGTGAAACTGACTTAAGTGAAAATGAAATGAAAAGTGTCACTGCGGCGTTACATTTAGATCATGCTGCATATTTCTTTTTACGCATTTTTTAAACAGCGCCGCATATTATAACCAATGGGGCCCTATACATTTGCACACATTTACCTGACTCAAGCTTGATTTCTTTTTCTGTTGTGATGCCGCATAGCTGTGTCCAGTGTTTCTACATTTTTCATGAGCATTATAATTAGGGCTGGGTATGGATTCAGACGTCCCGATTCGATTCGATTTCGATTCGCAAGCTCTCGATTAGATTCTCGATTTTTTGATTACATTCAGTGAATATAGTTTTAATACAAATGCTATTGATATTTCTAAAAAAGTAACAGTAAACATCAGTTTACAAATGGTGAATTAATAAAAAGAAATGAAGAACCACATGCCTTTTTTTTGTATAGGGTCCTTTTTTAAACAATAGAAGGGCCCTATAAAATGTTCTTAATTTTTTTGGTAATCAGATGAAGGCATAAAACATTAATTTAATTTATCCTCATCAAATGAAAATTAAACCCTTTTATTTTTGCTGCACAACAGAGGTTTACTGTTAAAATTAAAAAGAAAACAGATGTGATTATTTCTTTAAAAATAAAGATTTATTCATATTTATTAGCAGTAGTAGCATTGAGTATTAAGACTGCTAAATAGTAA